GAGAGCTTCACCCCTAACATACTGAATGCTCCCTTGTGGAAGCACATTATAGGAAAGATGAGAAATTGACAAGTTACTGATCTTCTGGTAGTAGTTGTTGTTGTTCAGTCGCACAGTCCAGTCCGACTCTTTGCGACCCCATGGGCCACATCACGCCACTTCCAAAACAGATTAGCAGCATTCATAGGGGACACATTACCCCCCACCCCATTGGAGACTAAAGTCAGTTTCAGTTGTGAAGGTGCTTTAATGCCACACCAGCGGTTAGCTTTATGCCCCTCACCAATGAAATGCTGTCTTCACTCTTTTCTCAATAACCTTCTGATAAGCAGAAGTTTGATTGCTGCTCCCTGGTCCTCCCTGTGAAGAGAATGGCACCTCTTCGCTACACCCTGCTGGGACTAGCTTTCCTTTCCTTTGTGGGTCAAAGCACTCCTGTTCTTCTCAGGGAGGGGGTGAGGAGAGGAGCTTCTCAGCTGCAAAGCCTGCTTTGATCCTTTCAGCATTATCAGTAGACTTTCTAGGCCAAAGTCTAAACTGTTTCTGCAGGCTGAGTGAACTAATGGTATGGAACTGAGCACATGTCTACTCTCTTCCTGTCTGTGGGTTACAATATGGTTAGCTACAGAATATAAAAGCTCATGGTTGTAATCCTGGGGTAGCTATACTGTGAGAGGAAGCAAAAAGCAGTGAATTTGGGGTGTCATGAAGGACAGAAAAATTAGGGGAGCTGGAAATGCTTCTGTCCCCTTGTTTATTTCAGTGGGCCGTGTGCACAAGTATTTTCTGTTGGACTGTGTCAATTCTAAAACCCATGAAACATCTGATATGTCCCCACCAAACTATGTAAATCTTCAATAAATAAAGGGAATTATTATTATTATTATATTGAAAACTGCCAAAAATATGAGCCAATAATATTAGTATTCTCCATTGTAACTGGTTCTCAAGCTCCATGTGTCACAGTGATGGTAGTTTGCATTTTGACGTTGGCCATTTCCACATGGGTGATTAGTCCTGGACTTGACACTGTTGGAAAATATTTTTTCTCCCTCATTAATGCAGCTCTCAGGATTTTACTGGCCTTTCTCCAATCATTCGCAAACCTACTTTCCTGCAAAATTTTGGAAAATATCACAGCAGAGCCTGGATGGCTAGCATGTGGGTGGGGAAGTTTCAGATTTCCCCCCACCCACAATAGCAGCCATTTTCTCGGTCCCTGCAGTAGCCATTTCCTCCCCCCGCCACTTAGGCAGTGGTGATTGTTGTTGTTTTGAAATTAGCTGTTGAATTTTGTTATATCAATATGTTATAATGTTCTGTGTACCAGGTTTTGTGAGCTCCTAGCTTTCATTTTTTAAAAATCAGTCTTTAACCCCTTTAGTGGGAGAGCCAGCTTGGTGTAGTGGTTAAGAGCGGTGGACTCTAATCTGGAGAACCAGGTTTGATTTCCTACTTGTCCACATGAAGCCAGCTGGGTGACCTTGGGTCAGTCACAGCTCTCTCAGAGCTCTCTCAGCTCCACTTACCTCACAGGGTGTCTGTTGTGGGGAGAGGAAGAGAGGGTGATTGTAAGCTGCTCCGAGACTCTTTCAGGTAGTTAAGGGCGGGGTATAAAACCAACTTTTAACAAAAAAGATATGCCTTTATAACTGCAATAAAAAGGGCTAGAGACAGACAAGAAAGAAAGAAAGAAAGAAAGAAAGAAAGAAAGAAAGAAAGAAAGAAAGAAAGAAAGAAAGAAAGAAAGAAAGAAGGGAATCCTGAGAATCTGATATGTAGATTGTTATAACATTCTATGTTGTTCTGTCGCACAGTCGAGTCCAACCCTTCGCGACCCCATGGACTATATTACTATAATGATATTTAATTGCTGGTTTTAAAAACCAATTGAGGGGAGCCTGGGGCTAAGAAACTGCAGGAAAACCTGCCATGTGGAAGCCCCATTGCTGCTGTGCTGTATTGGAAGCCACAGTAGCAACAGGGAAACCACACAAGCTTGTCCCCATGTGGAACTCATCATAGTCCCTATACTCTGGGGTGTCTCTGTTAGAAAGAAAAACATACAAATGATTTGTCTGAAGTCTTTCAGTTGGAAAAAAAAAGTCCTTGTGGATGGCATGGGAAGGCTGGTATCACTCTGATATCATAACGCCTTGTGTCTTTTGAACACATAGCTCTTAAAGATTTGATCATACAGGGACATATTTTCCTGCTTGTAAATTAAAGAGCTCAGCTGACACATTAAAGCTCATACTGGAATAAATGTTGTCAGTTTTTAAGGTTCCTCTGGACTTCTGTTTTTTTACATTAGTGCTGAAGCAGTCAGGGAAGAAATAAGAAATAAAACCTGTAAATCTAGTCTGGTGTAGCGGCTAAAGAGAGTGAGTTGGTGCTGGGAGGGGGGGCAACAGTGGGAGAGCTCCTAGTGTCCTGGCCCCACTGATGGACCTCCTGATGGCACCTGGTATTTTTGGCCACTGTGTGACAGAGTGTTGGACTGGATGGGCCATTGGCCTGATCCAACATTGGCTTCTCTTCTGTTCTTATGTTTTTATGTTAATTGTGAGCTGGTTAATATCTGGTTCAGATCTCATATTGTGCCAGGAATTCAGTAAATTCCTCCACCCAAATATGGGGATAATAATACTGACCTATCTTGCATGGTTTTTGAAAGGATTGTATTTGAAGCACTTAGAACTCTCAGAAAGTACTATATTAATACTAAGTATTGCTTTTATATATCTTCCAGGATTAGTTAATATGCCCTTTCAGTGCATGGTGGAAATGAAAACATGTGAACCCATCCAGGCTAAGAGTCACTTCCAGGTTTATAGCAGAATGAGAGACTAGTATGAATGCACCCACCTAGGTCCCTTTTCCAAAACCCATCTTCCCTCTGTTTCCTTTCCCACCCAAATCCGTTTCAAGAAAGAAAAGCCAAATTAGGTGTTCTCCTGACTGTTGTGGCTTCCTCTGAGAACATAGACCTGATAAATTGTCAGAAGTTAATGATCAAAAAGCTTATCGGAGCCTTTTCAAATATAAATTTATAAGGTAAAAGAGAAATAATAAAGCCACTGGATAATTAGTAACTAGACAGGTCCTGAGGCTATAGAACTCAAACTGACCCCAAGAGCTCAACACAGAGTTGGGGGGAGATGCTGAGTGGAAGATGGGGTCATGAAACTGAATCATGAGGAGGAATGTTGGTACAAGGAAGAAACTTTGAAGATGAATATTAAGAAAGAGAAAAGAAAAAGATGATTTGTGGGAGAAGAGGTCGAAAAGGACTGGTGGAAAGCTAAAGGCTCTCTCCTTACTTTTCAGGTAAGAATTGTTTCTAGTGCATCCTCTGCACTGTTCTGATTTATGTTGCTGGAAGGTATCTAGATGGTGGAATATGGGATTTATTAGCAGACAGAGGAAGATAGTATCAGGCTAGCAGCAGCTGCCTGTTCCACTCCCAAGCCTTTTTAAAATTTAGTTTATTTTAGTTTACTTTTAGTTTATGGTCATTGTTATTTGGAGGATAGGGATTATATTAAGGAGGACTTGCTTCCCTGATGATTGATTATTGAATATGGATTGACAGTTGTTGTTATGTTTGGTTTAATTTTAATTTTTTGGCGTCACAATGAGTATAGAACGTTTCCTTGTCCCCAGCATTAGCACACCACAGCCACTGACCTGTTTTTCACTTGCTCCCCAAGCAAAGCTGTTGCCTCCGTGACCTGTTTTCGAGTTTTCAGGAATCCTCAAACTGGTCATTGTTGGATAGCAGACTAATAGTGCCATCTTAAGCACAGTTAACTTATACCCTTCTGAAGTCCATTTTGGTCAATGGGTTTAGCAGAATAACTCTGTTTAGGATCACACTATGAGTGACCTTTAGCCTCATCTCCAAGGGCTCTTTTTATGCTCACGTGTCTCCCATTTTAGAGAATGAAACCCCATGTGAATTCTTGCCTAGTTATACAGAGACACACAGATAGGGACTATAATGTTCTGAAATTTGAAAGAAGATTGGAATGGACAGGCTAGTATCAGGGGGCTAATTTTGAAATGCATTATGGCTAGGAAGGACAATGGGATGGGAGAAGAAAGAGACCACAACATTGTACATTAAATTCTATAATACTAAGGTCCACTGAGACAGTAAATGCACATGGCTGAAATCACAGATATTTGCTAATGATCAAAGAGCTCAGTACAGAAATCTTTAGGAAACCTAACAGGGAGACATTCATCCATCACCACGGATCAACCTGAGACAGGTGATAGTTACAATAATGCCAAGCAAAAGTAAAAACAATCAAGTTGAGTCTGTCATTTCCAAATATATGAAAGAATGGTGAAAAAGAGGCAATCAAACTTGTGCTGTGAAGTTTGCGTGAATTTACATGGAATAAAAATACTGGGGTGGTTAGCCATGAGGTCTTTAATGTGTATCTCTTGGCAATAACAGCAAGATAGCGTCGGAATTATTCAAGATGGTGGGCAAAGGTTGTGTGTTTCTATAGCCCCTTGAACAGTGAAAGTGCTTAGACCTGCAGCAAATGTAGTTGGTTTCCTTTTCAGTCTATATTGTTGGGGGATGCTTTCTTGTGTTCTGTGATTTTATAAACTATGTGAAGATAGTTCAGAAAGCTTTTTGGTTCTATGTGGCTTCTCTCCTACACCCATTCCCCTACATTTTTGGAACGGCAGCCAAAAGAGGGAGATGTTTGCAGAGAGAGTTTCAGAGTTCTTCCCCACTTTATAAAGAAGCACTTCTTGTCTGGATTACTCCTTGTAGAATAGACCTGATATGTAATTTGCCAGTCAGGGTTATCATTATTATTTTTAAATAATATCAAAGAGACATGGTATGCTGCAGGTTGGATGCTACTAATACCATCTGAAACGCTTAGATCAGCTGCAAAACCCAAGAGCTTAGATGAAGGGCTGAGACCAGACAGAAAGCAGAGAAGAAAAGAAAAGGCTGGATATGTCCTTACTGTAATAATCTTTCCACCACCGCTTTTTGGTGTGCAGCCTCCTCTGGGTTCAAATTTTCTAGTTCCTTCATTATTGGAGGAGTGAAGTCTTCTCCATCATCAGATGTTTCGTCTTCGGACATCCTAGACTCCCCCATTCCATTGGTAAGAACCGGGATTTCTGCACAGGTTTCCTGTTTGTCTGCTTGGGCTGTGTTGATGGGCCGTTGGCTCTCACTGTAGGGGTCTGCCTCACTCAGGGCTTTAATAAGAGTCTCCTTGCTTAGCCCTGATTCCAGTAGCGCTCCCAGCAGTTCCACCTGAAGATGAGTCAGTTTTGAGACCATGGTCTTTTCCCCTCCTTTCTCTTTCTTCTGATATGCAAGCTGTACCGTCTCTGCTGCAACCTCCTTTTTTTTTTTTTTTTGCTACACCATGATTCTGAAGTCGCAGAGCCAATGGTCAGTGGATCCCGCCTTTATACACCCACACCCCAAAATCCAAGACACAAAAATTAGCTGCTTCAGACCCCCCACAACTGTCCTGAGTCAGAACTGATAAAGGGACCCTCGCCTATCTGTTTACATTGGAGCAATGCAAATTCTCCAAGGTTCATATTTATCTGTGTGCTTAGGCAAGTTACTGAACTTTGGACTTCGGCACTGCAGCAGCAGTTCACAAAGTACGCAGAGAGAGAGGGAGGGAGAAAAGCGTGTGTTGGGGGAGGAAAGATTGGGTAAAAGATGAGAAAAGAACAGAGAAAAGTGAGCTGGAGGAGACAAGCAAGAGCCAAAGTAGCACTGGTCACCTTGCACGCATTGAAGATGACCTTAGGATGGCAAGAGGAGGTTATGGCTTGGTGACAAGTTCAGTGGTCTCTCCAAGAAACGTAAGTAATATTTCCTTTAGGGATGTGGATTGGTGAAATAGCCCGGGTTGATCCGAGACATCCCAAGATGGGACATTCAAATGTCACCCTCTCTCTCCCACTAGTTGGGGAGGGGCCGTAGCTCATTGGTAAAGCATCTGCTTGGCATGCTGAAAGTCCCAGGTTCAATCCCTGGCATCTCTAGCTAAAAGAGCCAGATAGTAGGCAAGATTAAAGGCTTCTGCCTGAGATCCTGGAGAGCTGCTGCACATTTGAATAGACAATCATTAGTCTGAAGTTGACTGGAGGGTCCCTATTGGCTAGCACCTCCAATATCTATTTATTTATTTCAATTTTACCCCACCATTCTGCCCAATAGAGACCCAAAGCAGCTTATATTATTCTCCCCTCCTTCATTTCATCCTCACAACAACCCTGTAAGGTGGGTTAGTCTGAGAGCATGTGACTGGCCCAAGGTTACCCAGCAAGAGCAGAAGCCCGGGGGAAAGGGGGGGGGCAGGGTGTGTGCCTCTCATCATCTTCGGGCGGGGGAGGGGGAGCAGAGGATCGGGGGAGGGAGCCCACAAAACCCGCGAGGAGGCCAGGCCCCATGGGCCCCATGCGAGCTACGGGCCTGCTGAGAGCATGTGACTGGCCCACGGTTACCCAGCAAGATTCCATTGCAGAGTGGGGATTCGAACCTGGGTCTCCCAGGTCCTAGTCTAACCTCTACACTGTGCTGGCTCAATATTAGAAGCACACAATACACTTCTGTTCCAAGAGCAATTTTGAAGCTTTTTACATTTTCTTAAATAAAATGAAGCATGTATCACTAAGGGCCATATTAAAATGTTTTTAAAGGATGGATAGAGAGCTTGAAACACTAGAGGAAGAATAAAATTGATGTCTTTTTGAGAATATGTTCATGCATATGCAGAACAAGCATGCAAGTTGCAAAACTGGGATCACAAATGGGGAAGGGAGTGTTTGTTTTGTTTTGACTAATATTTCTTAATATGTATTTTTTTTTCCTGTTCACAATAAAAGCGTACAAAGTGATTTCCACCGGGACGGAAAAGTGTGCAGGCAAGATGTGGATGAGAAATGGGAAGGAGAGGAGAGGAGAACAAAAAAAATAAAATAGAAGGGAGAAATGAGAGGGGGGAAGAGGATAGAGCTGCAGAGCAGGGTTAGGTTAGACACCCTTGAGGTAGTCATGTGTTTATACATATGTCTTTGTTTGTCTTTTCCTTTTCCCCCACAGGAGACATCTGTCTTTGCTGTAGCTGTATCAGTCAGACGTCTCTGCATATGGTCTCCCAATGGTAATGTTGTTACTATACAAATTACCAGTGTTTTCACAGCACCTGCTTCTATCCAGAAAGCTGTTATCTTTGAACAGTTCCAGACCATATGAACCTCTGTCTCTTTCAAATGCCTACACCTGTGGAGGTGAGATGATAGTTTCAGCTTTTTTCCTGTATAATCGGGGGGGGGGGGACGGGACTCAACATGTAATATTTTTAAGTCACCTTTTCTTGAATAAGCCTTTCAAATTGAGAAAGGGTGTCTATAGATGCAAGTGAATATTTTTAACCGAGTGTTTTCCACATGGGGCACAGACTTGTGTGGTTCCCCTGTGATTGCTGAAACACTGCAATGCCAATGGGTCTTCCACATAACTGGTTTCTCACCATTTTGCTTGCTCCAGTGCTCTATGTGGCAGCCATTCCCCAGTCAGTAATTAACATATTGTTATGATATTTCTTACTAGGTACTCTGAATTCTCTTATTTCATTTTAAACTGAACCTCCAGCCCCTTTTGTTGTGGAGATATAAGGTAAAAGGCATTTCTCTGCAATGAAAGAGACCAGAGACTTCATTTTTTAAAAAAAATGAAAGTTGCTCTCTCTCACTATATCTCTCTCTCTCTCTCTCTCTCTCTCTCTCTCTCTCTCTCTCTCTCTCTCTCTGTTTGCCATCAAGTCACAACCAACTTAGAGTGACCTCATTGGGTTTTCAAGGCAAGAGATGTTCAGAGGTGGTTTGCCATTTTGCCTCTGTGTAGCAACCTTGGTATTCATTGGTGGGCTCCCACCCAAATACTAACCAGGCCATACCCTGCTTATTCTTCTGAGATCAGGTTAGCCTGAGCTATCCAGGTCAGGGCAGTTATAACATTATAATGCTATAATAATGGCAATTGCTGATTTAAAAAACAACACCCTCTCATGGCAGTGGGAATGGCCACCTTATGGGGTTCTGGCAGGGGGAAATGGCACTGAAGTGGGACCAGGAAGTTCTGGACCTTCCTGTCCACATGGGTGCCGCTCTGATCTTTCCCAAAACATCACAGCAAAACAGGTTTGGGAACGATCTCAGAAACGACTGGAAAACCCAGGAGGAGTACTGAACTACCATAATGCTGTGGAGAAGCAGGGGGAAAAATCCAAGCCAGGGCAAATAACTTAGGCTTAAGCGTTTTAGGTTCTTCCCTGTTCCCAATAGTATTGTTCTTTACAGGCTAAAGCAATGTCTGCCTTGTGAAGCTCTCATCTAGCATTTGTTAGTTCCCTAAATATGAATGGTATGGGCAGGATCAGCCAATACATGGCATTTACCCATTGCCTCCTCCTGTAAATTAACAAGCATTCTCAGATCCCACTCGTTATCATGGAACAACAAACGGCTAAAATAAAATAATTCAGGGGAAAATGTTCTTCCCTTTTCAATTTCACATACTGTTCCCTTCCGTTCCTTTCTCTCCTTGATTTGGTTCAGTGGAGGAGGGGAAGGGATGGGAACGGCCCAGCAAGGAGGGAGGAAGCCTTTGCTGAGTCATCTTTGCTCACCCATTTCTGGAAGGACCTGCACCACCTCAGAGAGGGCCATTTCCAGGTTTTGAGGGGCCCCAGGCAGAGTCCCCAGGCCCCCTTCCTTCTTTTCACCAAGCCCCCAAACATGCCCTCCTTCCCTCCCACCTGCAGGCGTGTACTTCTCCTTCCCACTTTTGTGAGCTTTCCCCACTACCTATACTCACAGCTGCCTGCAGCCCTTTCTCCAGGGGCACTGGGCAGTGCCAACACGTGTACCTGGGAGCTCAGTGGAATGCTAGCAAATAAGTGGTGGTGGAGGGTCAACAGCAGTATGCCCTGCCAGAAGCCCTGGGCCCTGGCAGCTGCCCTACCTCATGGTATGCTGATGCCAGCCCTGTCTTCAGGAATAGCCAATCAGGGTGATGGGAGGAACTTTCTAAACCGAGCCTTTTGGCCAGTGACATTATGGTGCCTCAACCAGCCTCTTGTGTTGTGACTGGCCCCGGGTATAGGGCGTGTTGCAAATTGTCTCAGTAGACCTTTAATCTCTATGTACCGCCCACTTTTTCTTTTGTTTCTTTCCTAGGAGACCTGTAGCCTGCTATGTGTCCACAAGTAAAGGCCTTCCTTCATTTGAACTGGCCCACCATTGAAGCTAAAAGGGTCTTGCTGTTGGTGTTGATTCTTAAAAATTCAGGGGTTAAGGACAGGTATAATCTTAGGGTGGCCAGCTCTGCGTTGGAAAATACCTGGAGATTTTGTGGGTGGAATCTGAGGAGGGTGGGGTTTGGGGAGGGGGGACTTCAGTGGGGTATAATTTCATAGGGTCCCCCTTCCAAAGCAGCCATTTTCTCTGGGTGAACAGATCTATGTCACCTGGAGATCAGTTGTAATTTCGGGAGATCTCCAGCCACCACCTGGAGGTTTACCACACAAAGTGAGATACGCAGTGTAAGATGCGACCCAACAAAAACTATGTATAAAACAATTAATTACAACAAAGTCAATGAAAGTATATAGCTCACTATCAAATTTAGCATTTTGGGATAAGGTGACTGAGAGGGTGATGGCTGGACAACTCCAGGCAATTTTGGATTAAGCTGATTAATTGGATCCATGTCAGTCTGGCTTTATGTTGGGTTTTGGGATGAAGACAGTCTTTGTCACCTTGATGGAAGACAGGGCAAGTGCAGCTCTACTAGTTCTCCTAGATTTGTTGCTGGTCTGTGATACCACTGACCATACTATTCTCCTGGAACATCTTGTAGCTTTGCAGTTTCTCAAGTTTCTTTTCTTCAAGTGTGGATTCCAGAAAGTAGTTTTTGGGAGATTACTGTTTCTCCCCATGGGAATTGCCTGAAGAGGGGGTTCCTGGAGGAATTCCTAGTTTGTGTAATAGAAACGAGTAAGTTAAGTCTTCTGGAGTTATGCAGTGTGGTATCATCAGTATGCGTGGGATACCCCAATGTGCTTTCCTTTTAACCTTCACCAGGTGAGACAGTGTTCTGAACTGAAGCTCCATAATGGGTAATTGGATGAAAGTGAAAAGCCCAATCTAGACAGAAGTAAATATTGCCATTCTGTTAACTGGTGACAAGGATCTGACCAGGTTTCATCTTGTACCCAGATTGCTTTTTTCCAGCTTTGACTCATTCACTGTAAG